TAAATGATAATACACACAGCACACATATACACACGCTAACGCCAACACACTCAGCCTGCAGCAGCCACCGGTTTTTCTGTATCATGTCTCCAGCGAAGCGAGCTGCTGTGGTATTTTTTCTTTTTCTTTTTTCTTTTTTTTTTTACCGGAGTCCTTCGTCATTCCACCCATTCAAAGAGCCATCTACCATCAAACTGGGACTTGCATCCACCAATCTATCTCAGAGATCCCGTCAACCCAGGCAGCAGTACAGACCCCCTGCTGGTTGCAGAAAAAAAGAAAGTGTGTATGCATTTTTTTTTCGTGCTGAAGGGGAATAAAAATGAGGAAAAGCCCAACAGTGTATGTGAAAGCGCATGCACTTACATTTTGCTTGCAACACAGACAAGTAGATGGGTCTTTATTTAGACCATGAGCACGTAAATTTATGCATCCCACATGCACTGCATCGCCACAAGTATCCAAGTAAACAGCGCTGTTGATCTTTGACCAATCAGGCCACGAGTGAGTCTGAACCACCATCCCACAGGATACCACAGGGCAAAAACACTGCCTCTAAATGACCCTCTCCCAAGCCCCACGCACTTTCTCATCACCAGAGAGAGGGTGGCCCTATGTTTCAGCTCAGCATCACCAAAGCTGGAGCAAGCAAATTCCATCTGGAAAAAGCTGGAGGCATCAGTATTCCAGAATAATATGTGTGTGTGTGTGTGTGTGGTGGGGTGGGGGGGGGCATGAAGGATGTTCATGCTAATTCGCACACATTTTTTTCCCTGAGAGACGCGTGCCGTGAAACYGCTGGCGAATTTCCCTTCCTAAAAAAAAAGTCAGTATCAGCAGGGATGCGTCTTCGCCCCCCTTTTAATGCACGATCACCATCAAAGGCCACCGAGGAAAGGTATAGTACATCATCCTTTATATCTATCCAGAGAATAAAAGAAGTGTCACGTGTGGGTGAGAAATGGCTCATCAGTCACTTGCCTTGAGTGGGTAATTGGAGATGATATAGTTGAGATCCAGCTCTGAGCAAAGTCAGTGCAGAGTCACAGGCCTTATTACTCACTCTTCAAAAGCCTGGCACCAGAGGAAAAAGTACTCTGAAGGTTTTTTACGCAGCTTTTTTTTTTTACTATGCCTGAAAAGCAAGAGGAGGGAAGCGAAGGCAGAATCTGAAGCAACATTAGATCGAGGAAGCTCCTGATTTCCTTTCCTGTTTGAAACAGTCGGAAAGGGATTTGAGCCACTGCATTATCTCCGTACTCCAGGGCCCTGGGGAATGTTCATGCGTCGAGCACTAAGCAGTCATTTCCTTGTTCTTCACGTAGATCCCTGGGAGGCCATGTTGTCTGATTCATTTCACTGAATTGTCAGCTAATGAATGGTACGCAGCCATTGACTGCCACACGCACACACAAAGAGAAAGCCCCCAAGGGTGATCATCACGGGGGTTCTCTCATTCTCATTAGGAGCGAATCAAAAGGAAAGACGGGACTCACTAATAATTCATCACGTCCTCCGTGTGGGGTGCAAGTAAGGCATTTCCCTTCACAGATTGGAGATCAACATGTTTGGGCACATGTAATGCTCTAACGTACAAGAGAGTCGATAGAAACACGAGAGTCAAGGAAACGGTCATTAGTATCAAATTTGTCACCTAGCTATAGTGCATACCTTAAGGTAGTTTGTCACTGGGCTCCAACCATTGGAAACTAGTTGGTAACTCAAAATTATGAGAAAAATGGCTATTTTTTTCTGGAGTCTTGCTGAACTCTAAATGTTTGAGGTCAAATATAGCAAGCCATGCAGTCATGTTTTGTATGCCCACAAAAATCAAACATCACAACTTCTTGTCATGTGCATTACTTGAAAAACTATTTTAGGTTGTGCACATTAGTTTGTTGACAAACTCCGCCCACATCAGTTCTCTTTGTACCCACCTTGTTACCCGTCCTGAGTTAGTACGTGTTGGAAATTAACATAAGCAGACAATGTGTTTTTTTCTCAATAATTATTTATAATCATTTAGCAGTTATGAAAGTACAGCATTTGCACTTTTCAAACAATTTGGAGATGCCCGCTATAAAACTGAGACATGTTTGCGATGCTCGCAACGATTCTTGACTGTTTTATTTTGAGCATGTTTAAAACTCAAGCAACAAGACTGCAAGCCTCAAATGAGCTTGTAAAGATCCCCCGTGAACATTTCCAGACATTTTAGAGACTCTCTTGCAATTTACTCATCAGATGTTGCAGCCCAGTGAGATGTTACCTTTAGCCAGGAGAGGCAGTGGTTGAACATTTGAAACAAAGGATATTCAATCAAGGCAAGTCTGTTTGCGTGTCCGTTTTTGTTGTTGTTTTCTATCAGCACTGTTCCACCTGTCACTCTTATACAGTCCTGATGTCCTTCCTCGCGATTATGAAAAACACACAATCATCTAAGCCAGTGTTTCCCAAAGTTGGGGTCGGGACCCAAAGTGGGGTTCTGAACCATCAAGGTGGGGTCCTGAAATGATTTTCTGAATTAATTACAATTTTGCCTTAGTTGTTACAAAGG